TAAATATTGCTGGTATCTGGGCTTTGAGTACGTTGGTTCAGTCGATAAAATTTGTGTAAATTAGATCGTTTTGCAATTCAAGGCGTTGAAAGATTTCGTAATTATTAATAGAATGACTAGGAGGTGAAGTTATTGACCCAATTTGCATATTGGAATCAAGATATATGGGTTTGTAGCGGATCGCTACCTTAGTAAAGCTTGACCGACTCAGAAATCTCTATGGCAGATTCTCCTACATCTAGCTAGACTCCCAGAACCAGCTAAGCTATAGCCCAGCTATCAAGGAAACAGACGTGTAGCACGGAGCACGTTTATTCAGGACGTATATTGCGTTTAAAGTGTACACGCAGGAAGCTGAATCATGATCAGGATGGGGGATTAGGTTAAACAAACAGAGGTTAATGATTGGTCACTGTTTGTACGGTCGCATCTCCCAATCCTGGCGTACAGGCATGCGATGAGGTGTCCAACAGGTTAAAATCTTGGAGAATATTAGTAGTATTTCAGCATTAAGCAAAACTTTTTATGACGAGCTCTAAGGCTCAAAATGTTTTGCCGACCGTAGATAGAAAATTATTCACAAGTAGGAGAATAGGAGCCATTGTTAACAACAGGAGGTTGGAGGTCAGACAAAACTTGGTTTATTTATTGCGTTTGGTATGGAGAGTTAAATTAGTGTGCAATAGTGAAGTTCCTTCACATTGAAATATAAATTTTTAAAACAATTTTAACAAGTCAGCACGTGTTCAAGAAATATTAGTTTATTGTGTGAAAGGCTTGTATGTGTAGGTAAGTATCTTTTGAGATATTAATTGACCTTGTCTTACTACAAATTTTATCAATTTGAGGAACTTTACCATTTTGAATTGAATATTCGATATATTTTTTTTAAAATAATGAAATATTGCTTAATCGATATCCGAATTTTTTAATAAAAAATTCACTTTTTATTTAAATATGCGCCATATAAATTGAACAAAACTCCAATATTATACTTGTATGAGCATAAATCAACTTAGTTAATTCTACCAACACACATCATTTTAAGCTCAAGTGGTAGGATTCTGATTGTTAACTTATTTCTCGAAAAATTTTCCACCCTAATAATATGCTTCCTTTCCAATTAGAAAGTGAATGGAATGATGGAATGTAAAGTTGATTCGAAAATTATGGACTTTATAAAGGCAGTGAAGGCTAACAATGTCGAAGAAGTGAAAGCGCAGTTACAACTGGGAGTAAGAAATTGATCTCCACGTATTTTAAAATCTTACTAACTGATCCTGTGTTATTTAAAATTTTATTTTATCGTTTTAAGACTTCTCCAAATTCGCGCAAGACTCCAGCTAAAAAAACTGGGTTAATGATTGCCGCAACCAGAGGTTATACCGATGTGATGAAAGTCTTGCTAGATGCCGGTGCTAGTACCGATCCTACGGAAATGCTTATGAACACTGCTTTTCATTTCGCCTGTAGTAGCGGAGTTGTACGATCGGTAGAACTGCTGATAGAAGCTGGAAGCGAAATTGCCAGACCTAATGCCTTTCATAAAACTCCTTTAATGGTCGCTATCATGCATAATAGATTAGAAGTGGTGAAAGTGTTATTAAATATAGATCCTCAACTTCGAGTTGGATTCCTCTATGGTGACGATTCGGAGTTGACTCTTGCATGCCAACAGGTTTTTTTCAAATATTTGCTTAATAAAAAATTTTTTTTAAATAGTCTGATCTGAGAATCGCAAAATATCTTTTGGAAAATTTCAAACCCATTGTAGGACTTAAAAATGAACTCCAAATAGCTCTTCTTCGTGCTGTAGTGCAGCACCGTCCAGATGTTCTCAATATGCTAGTTGGCTATGGGGCTGATATTAATTATTTGGATATGTTTATTGATCCACCAATTTTCACAGCCATCCGTTCTAAAGACACCATGATGCTACAATATCTCCTCGATTTGGGAGCAGATGTGAATAAAAAATGCTTTGGTCGCGATTCGCCCCTACTTTTCGCCATTAAACATGATAACGAACCGGCCATTAAAATGTTGATTAAGAAAGGTATGCTCGTTATAATCATCTATTCAACTGATTTCTTAATTGATAAGGAGCAACTGTAAATGCAAGGAAAGCCCGTTCACGGCTAAAGGAACTGAGAAATGAAACTTATAAGCGCTTAGATAGCATGGAAGCAGCAGTTCAGGCAGTCATGGTGGAGGGAGAAGAAGAATCCGACGAAGATGAATCATCATCATCATCATCATCAGACAAAACATCATCAGACGAATCATCATCAGATGACACATCAGATGAGACAGAAGATGAAACAAAGGATGAACCGGAAGAACAAAGAAGAGAAGTAGAAATTGAACAACCAGTTCATGAACAAAGTTAGCAAGCAGTGGCTTAGGATAGGGATAATAAAGGTGAAGATAGCGAGTAGGAATAATGCGTTGAATTTACCTTGTGAAATAAAATGCTGGCTTTTGTAAATATTGAGTTCTTTTGAGAGCATTAAAAATGAAGGAGCACTGACTTTAAATTTTCTGTTAACACTATTGGTATAAAGTTGGTTAATACATATATATACAGAGGATTATATCAATAATTGACTTTGAAAGATGTTAAGTCAATTATTTCTTTCGTTGTTTTATGAACGCAACTAGCCAAACTATTTGTCAAAAAATAATATACATAAAATTTTAAAATAAATATGGAAAATTTAAGATGAAAGGAAATGTACGCCTCTTTTAATCCGAAAGATGACCAGAAATCGTTACTGTGTAGTGAGCACTGGTCTGGAAATTGGACTTGAAGCTTAATTAAATAGTCCATTGATAGTATTCTAGCCTTTTAACCGTTTTCCCAAGATATCCCAACATTTGTAAATTCGAAGAAATGTGCCTTTAATGTAATGCTCTAGGCGAATATGCTGCAATGAAATAAAATGCTAAAACTAAATGCTGAATTGAAAGGACTAGATGTATCGAATACTTGAGTTCTCTATGAGTAGCAAAATTCTAAATGAAATATTATTGAATGCACGGTGATACACTTAAAATCTGAAATAGGACTAAGTTATTTTATCAATCAATAAATTTTCACGAACTGCTCAGTAGCTTTACGTCCAATGTGAACAACATTTACCTAGTTTGAAAAACAACTTCTTACCACTGATCATGGATCTCAATTATGTCTTGCTTTCAAATTTTGCAAATCTTATACTATCTTATTCAAATTTATATTCAACGACTGAAATCACTGAATAGGAGGCGCATGGCTTGTTCCTAAAGTAAATTAGATTTTGGCATAGTCATGTAATACTAACAACATTAAATTAAGACGTATGATATGTGAGCACAGAGAGAATGGGGAAGTTTTAACATAAATGGGTTCAAAGTTTAAGAGGGATCGGTAAGGAGAGTGGAGGAAGTAAGAGTAAGTTTGTCCGAGGTACTCCTAGCCGAGGTCTGGAATTATCATGTCAAATGCACTCCCAAGCTAAAAGTTCTTCCAAATTTTGCCTTCTTTCATCTTCGCCAAGGCGTTCTTTGTCTTAGATTTTCATTATTTCAGAGCCATCGGCTTGTGACGCACACTCTGAAATTGTGGCCACTAAACTCTCAGTGCCCTAAATCTTCTTTCCATTTGTATAAAGTTGATAATCCCTGCGCATAAATCGATGTTATACGCACAAGTTTCTTTCTTGGGTAATGTATACTAATGCGTGGCTGGGAGTTCTTGCAAGAATTAATCATCAATGCCATCCTTTTGTCTTATTTCCAGCTTACCAACTGTTTAGCTTCAGTTTGAAGTCTTTTTATGTCTTTGGTTAGGGTGTGCGATAGACTTACCTCCACGTGGTGCACCCTGGACAACGTATCTTCGTACGGCAAAAAATTATATTAACCGGAAGTTTGTGTGCGATAGACTTACCTCCACGTGGTGCACCCTGGGCAGCGTATTTTCTTACGGCAAAAAAGTCTATCACTCGGCTTTCGTTATATTCATACGGCAAAAAGTCTATTAACTGGCAGTTAACTACGATAGACTTACCTCCACGTGGTGCACCCTGGGCAACGTACTTTCTTACGGCAAAAATTCTATCACTCGGCATTCGTTTTTTGTCTATCACTCGGCATTTGATTTGACTTCTCTTTATTATGATTATATTAACTGGCGGTTGACTTTTGACTTCAAACTACCATCAATTCGATTTATGTCATATTCGACTACTACCACAGTACTCACATCACCTTTTTTCTACCCTTATGCCTGTCACTTTTACATCTCTGAAACACTGTTCTCGACTTTTTTTCACTTTGATGTTCTATCTCCTCTGTGAAGCCTGAAGTCAACTAAAGGGCAAATGATAACTGTCAAAACGCCTGCAATTTGATATAAATAAATACTCTTAGAAGTCAAAACGCCTGCAATTTGATATAAATAAATAAATGTCTTTGGTTGCGCAAGTATAGAGAAATCTACTTTCAGAATGTGTAATTTCAATAGCTTCTCCCCATTAATACTCTATCTTTTTTCTGTGAGGACCTGCACCATGTATTTGCTCTTTGCCTTTTTAGTTGGGCTTCAGGGTTTCTGTGAGTTTCTTTTCTGTTAGAGTTTAGGCACTCATTTTCTTCAGTTTTTCCAACCTATCATTCATCCTAAATGGATTTTAATGCATTATCATCTCTCATGGGACAGATATTTGCAGACAGAACATGAAGATGGATTGACACGATATAAAGATCTATGATAATTCTCACAAGACTTCAATGGAGTAAGTGAAATTACATTCAATATATTTCAATATTTAATTATCTATTTATATCAGATGGGAGGCGCTTTGATAGTTATCATTAGCCCTATAGTTTAATTTAGTCTTTGCAGAGGGGAAGGAACATCAAAGTGTAAAAAATTCAAGAGGGGGGGGGACAGACGAGATTTTGAAAGATATTAAATAGACAGACGCAAAAGTAGAAAAAAGTGAGGTGATTGCTGTGAAAGTATTCGAATTTGACACATAGTGGGGTCATGGTAGTTTGAAGTCAGAAGTCAACTGCCAATTAAAAGATTTTTTTGTCGCATGAGTATACGTTGGCCAGTGCGCACCACATGGAAGTAAGTCTATCGCACACCCCATATATTGCAATATTGGACCTATAACATGTCAGGTGAATAACAGATTTGCTGAGTTTACATACATGTACGTAAAGTTTTCAAGTTAACAACTCTGTATTACCGAAGTACATAAGTAAGAGAGACTGAAAAATTGATTAATCATTTCATGACCAAATCACATGATTTGTCGAGTCAGTTCTGAGGTAAATCGTGAACGAGAGTGCAAAGCTTACGTCAGTAATTATATATTCGTGATTGACAAACTCATTTCATGAATCCTGACGCATTTGCCTAATTACCATCTCCTTGTAGATCCTAAACGCATGAACCTCTCATTAATTTGCTTCCCCAAAAGTAAGCCCCAAGAACAGCCGTTTTTCCACATTTTGCTTGAAAAAAATGCATAAATCATTTGATTAAAGTCGGGCACGATAAGGTAAAAAGACAAATCTAAGATATTATCTTTGTTTACTTATAATGATAAAAAATAGAGAATTTGAAAATGAAGTTTATAAACTTTATTCAAGGGAAAAATTGTTCGCTGGATTATCAACAATTTGACGTCAACTATTGATAATCGAAATGAATTCCAAGTTACCTTTTCAAAGACATCGTTTAGTAACCCAAAGTTCTTTCTGGAGCGGATGACATCCACAGTTAATCAATATCGCAAACCAGGAAGTGGGAAATTTAAGCTAACACCTCATTTATGGTTATCATTTACCAAAACTGACAAAATTCTTACAAATGGGAAATGCTGCCCTGGACGTAAGTCAAGCAGATATTCAGCATTATATGTAGAAAAACGTAATTTCAAAATTGGCTTGAGTGCATATTTTGTTTCTGCGTCAACTTATTTACATGCAACCACTAGAAAACAAAACAATTGTTCAATGTAAAAGTCCAATTGGAACTCAAATGTAAAAGCTTTCAGAAGTAGGTGACTGGATTCTTCCTATCACATTAGTTCTCCTTCGTTTGAAGTCTCACTTTCAAGTCTAAATTCAGTCGTTGGAGGAAGAAAAAGAAGTCGTCACAAATGTATGTGCGACGATATGGACGAATAGATCAAATTGATCACCTTACAGGAATATACAATCTCTTTCTGTAAATACACTGTGAGAGTTAATTAAAGATGCGTGATCCGCTACCATAGTCTCCATTTGTGCTTCACTACGTAGTTTCACCAGTTATTAGACACATTCCAAGTGGTAATTAAGCAAGGCAGTAAAACAACAGTTAAATATTTCGAGAAACCTTCTATCGTATCATTCATTCAATAGTCCTAACTTTGCACAGTTTTACACCCTTTAGGAGAATTACGGTTTGTGGGTGTTGCTTGAATTTTCCCATAGTACATTCAGAACATCCTATTTGAGTTATTAATGGCTGGTATTTCGAAGTCAAGTATTTGCCAAGTGTTCATGCCCATGTTAATCTGTTTTAACTACTTTGTGCACTGATTTTCGGTCATAATCCACGTTACTTCAACAAACAGAATTCCATTTCTCTTCTCCTTGCAAAGTAAACAATTTAATGATGTTGTGGTGAAACTTGAAGTAGTCATAATTCATGTTTTTTAGTGTCTCAAATAAACCTATAAAACGAGTTGCATGTCACTTCAAATTAGCAATTAAATCGGCCAATATATCCAGTAAAACGTCAAGGCAAACAAAAAAATTATGTTATTTACAAGCTAAGTATTGATTACCTACTCCCCCCCCCCACCCTCTTTTAACATTACCTGACAATACTAATAGCATTTGTTGTGCTGTTTCGCACTGTGTTGTTGTGGGTAAACGTGCCAATATTTTGGGAAAAAGCAGAAATGGAAAGTTAGAAGCCCAGCCTTAAGCACGGTTTACTACAGCAAATGAAACCTCTAATTCTTTTTTATTTCCCCCGTCTGGACTTATATCGACTAGAAAGTGAAAGGAGACAAAACTTGATTACCACCTACTTTAAAACTCATGTTCTTACCCAGTATCCTCCTTTTAGTCCTACCACAATAGAAGTCAAAACTCCTCTCAAATGGCTGCTTGATTGAATTAAACTTTGCTCATGCCTTATTTCCTCTCCGGCGTTATGAGATTGAAATAAAGAAAAAGGCTTAGCTATCTCCCACCACCTCTTTCTTCTAGTTTCTTTCCTTATAATAGTTTGTCAATTTTCTCTTAATGACCTCACTAAATTTCACCAATTCCCTGCGTCGAAGATCAAAATGCACTTTTTTATATTGATTTGTACTGTTTTCTGTTTTCGTATTAATCT